AGTTCCTAGGGCACCTAGGCCAACCTTAAAAAGCGGGCAAGTCTGCCTTCCCTGAATATCCAAGTTCTAACGTACTACTGGTCTCATTTCTCAAGAATTTTTTTTTAATATATTTTATTGATTTTCTACAGAGAGGAAGGGAGAAGGATAGAGAGCCAGAAACATCGATGAGAGAGAAACATCGATCAGCTGCCTCCTGCACACCCCCCACTGGGGATATTCCCGCAACCAAGGTACATGCCCTTGACCGGAATCGAACCTGGGACCCTTCAGTCCCCAGGCCGATGCTCTATCCACTGTGCCAAACCGGTCAGGGCTCTCAAGAATTTTTATTAGAGAATTCCTGAGTACTTCAAATGACTCTGGAATCTTTCAGATCCAGATAGAAATGCTCTTCCTGTCAGAACAAAAACATTTGAAACAATAATTCAGTCCCACAAGTAATAAACAGTTACAACATTTTTGCAAAGCCTTGAGGTCTTCCAGTGTCTCATCAGGCCCTGGGAAACCTGAACAGGTATACTGGACATTCTAGCTACTCCTCCTGTTCTTGTCTCATAACTTATTTTCAGAGTTACAGTTTCTATTAAGTGGAAACAAAAGCTAGTAGCTATTTAGTAAACCACCCTTCATTAGTTATTCATTTGTAGCCTTCTAAGAACCATATAAGTAGCAGGACCAGCATTTTGTTCTTCCTATTTCTCCTGGCTTATTATTTAAATAAGAACATAACTTGTACCCCAATTCCTCCTTTAGAATCTTATTTATTTTGGTGGCTAAAAGGCTATCATCCTTCTAATATTTCATTAAAATTACTACTAAAGAAAATAAAGTTAGGTTCAAAACTGTCTCAAAAGCAGATAATTTTTTTCCTTCTATACTTACTAACTAATTAAGGAACATCTCACAAGGTTCTATAAAGAAATGAAAGATCTAAAAAAAAAGTGCCATTAACAAGGAGCTTTAAAAAAACACACCCAACTCTTGGAAATTAAGATCACTGAATACTGTAACATGCTGATGAGAAAATTTCCTGCAAATCCTCCAGAGGTCTTTAAAAATAGGATGGAATCATCTATTAAGATTAGTTTTAATAAAGTCCTACAAAGAGATAAAGGGACTGAACTACATAACCCCCCAAAGGTCCTTCCAGCTCTAATTCTACCAAAGCTTCCAATTCTCTTTCAAAATTTCCCTAATGCTAACTGAACTCTTCACCTCCAATAAAGGCTGACCCTCCTCTCATTCCTCTGAATGGCAGGGAGGAAAAATTACTGCTTTACTGCTACCCTTCCTTATGAAAACTCTGTCTACTGTTATCATTAAAAAACAGTGATACAGTAATATCGTCCTGGGCCATGTGGCTCAGTTAGTTGAGTGTCATCCTGTGCACCAAAAGGTCACTGGTTTCGGGCTCAGTTCCTGATGAGGGGCATGCAGGAGGCAGTGGGTCAATGTTTCTTACATCGATGTTTCTCTCTTCTTCTGTCCCTCTCCCTTCCTCTCTAAGAAAAACATTTAAAAAAACAAAACAGTAATGTCTACACTCATGAGGATGGCTACTGTAAAGAAAAAAACCTAACACCCAGCACTCCTGTGATGTTTCTCATTTATTCCCACTAATGTGTTACCACAATCACAACACTTCTGACATCAGAATGGGGAGCAATAACCGTGTGTGCTTCCACACCAGCAAGCAACACTTCGACAACAGTTCAGTGTCTTACAATTAACTCAATTCTAATGCTATTCACCTGGAGATATCATCACATCCCACTGGTTAAGGGCTCAGTCCCATAAGACTATCTCCCATCCCCCAACTTCAGATGCCAATGGCAAATCTAGATCGTGTATGTACATTTTTCTCACACCCTGTATTTCCTATTATCTCACAGCTATCACCAAAAAAAACCCCTGGGTGACGTCAATTGGTGACCCCATTGTAAGTTAAGCATCTGTACATTTGTAACCCACCCCACTATTTTTCTGATATTGTTCCTGTAAATGCTGATTCTAATATGTAGCTTGTAAATAAACTACATTTGTATAAGAATCCTAGGAACTAACTTCAGAAGTTACCAACTCCGACCTTCAGTCATCCCAGTTCCAGAAGATTTGCTGACCTTCAAACACAGAACCAGGATGACAAAGAACCAGGATGATCCACACTAGACTATCACTTGAGCAGTTTTGAAGGTCTTATTAGAATGGACTGGGCTGGACTGCACACAGAGAATTTTTCAACCCCCTTCCCTTGATTTCTTTGTTCTGCTTTGCCTCGCCCTCCTTATAAAAACTCTGCCTGCACTGAGACGTTGAGATGGGCTTTGCAACAAGAGTCCCCTATCTCCTCAGGCGACCAGCACTTGAATAAAACCTTTCTTTTTCACCAGCATCTGTCTAATGAGTTTGGTTTTTGTGGCAGCAGGCAGCCCACCTTGGGTTCCAGTTACACATTCATCCCTTCAAACACAGAAGCATAGACTCTGGAGAATGCAAAGAAATCTTAGAAGTTTCTAACTTCTCTCTGCTCATAAAAGACAAATGTAGGAATATGTGAGGAAATGAACTTATGTCTTGGGTTTAAAAACATGTTATACTATAAATTTATAGTAAGAGCATGATGCACACCTGTACACTTAACATCTTTTTAAAAAATTTATCTTTATTGTTGAAAGTATTACAGACGTCCCCAGCATTTAACATCTTATGTGTATTTTTATGGCACACATATCCCCCAGAAACTGCTGATCGGAGTTAGAGCAGTAGCATATCACTTTAAGAAAAACAAAACTAACTTAAATATTTTTAAGGCCCTACCTGGTTTGGCTCAGTGGATAGAGTGTCAGCCTGTGTACTGAAGGGTGCCAGGTTCGATTCCAGTCAAGGGCACGTACTTCCGTTGCAGGCTTAGTCCCAGGCCCTAGTTGGGTCACCTGTGGGAGGCAACCAATTGATGTGTCTCTCTCACATCAATGTTTCTTTCTCTCTTTCTCTCTCTCTCTCTCTCTCTCTCTCTCTCTCTGTCTCTCCCCTTCCCTTCCATACTCTCTCTAAAAAATATATATATATATATCAATGGAAAAATATCCTCAGGTGGGGATTAACTAATATATATATATTTTTAAATATATTTTTTATTGATTTCAAAGAGGGAGGGAGAGATAGAAACATCAATGATGAGAGAGAATCACTGATCGGCTGCCTCCTGCAAGTCCCCCACTGGAGGACTGAGCCCACAACCTGGTCACGTGCCCGGACCGAGAATCAAACCGTGACCTCCTGGTTCACAGATTGACACTCAACCCCTGAGCCATGCTGGCCGGGCTAAAATGTGTTTTTAAGATATTCTTGTTCTCATGAAGTTACCAAAAATCTCTCTTTTGCTTAAAAGGAAAGAAAAAAAACTCACACAATATTCTCATGTTCGTGTACAAAGCAATATACTTAAATTCTTTGTTTTAAAAAGACTTCTGAAAGACTTCCTAGAAGCAGCCCTAAACATTGTTTAGCGTATTCCATTAGCGCATTCTTCCAAATACCACCATAGCGCTTTGAGAGGAATTTTCCCCTAAAATGTATTAGGAAAAGTCAGGCAGGTTTTTAAGTTTCATTTTAACAGCTTGCTATTTCTTCATCACATTGGTCATGAATTCTGAAGAAACATTATGCTTACTAATGCTCAGTTGTTAGGAATTATGGGAGGCAGAAATTTAATTTACTACTAAATCAGAACATAGCTCCTATGTTAAGTGAAAAGAGCACTTAAACACAAAACACCTCGAAAATCTGAATACCTTTTTCTTGATTTCCTTTTCCCTTTTAAATAACCCACTGGGCCATGGCTGGGTAGCTCAGTTGGTTAGAGCATCGTTCCAATACACCCAAGGTTGTGGGTTCAAGCCCCAGTTAGGGCACGTACAAGAATCAACCAATGAATGCATAAATAGGTGGGACAACAAACTAATCGATAAATAAATAAATAATAAATAATCCACTCATTCACCTGCAATGTATTTTCTGACTCCTCCTGTGAGGTTTCCCTGTTATATTCTATACCACAATTTTGTCTTATTAGCCATGAGTAGGAAAACAATTCCTCCCACTGCTTATAATGAGCCCACTCTTATCATCTCCTCTCTCACACAATTAATTATTTTAAAAAATGAAAACAAATCTTTTGAATTTAGTATGATACTGCCTTATGCCTTACAAATTCTGGGGCGGTCAAGTCTCTTGTATGTATTTCCTCTCCCCAACTCTTATAGTCTTCTTCTCTCAACATGACCTGGAGAAATGTTTTATTTTCTGTTTCACACCAAACAGCAACAGGCCTATCTAGAATATCTACTGATTGGGGGAGGAGCCTGCCAGATATTTATGTTAAAGCCAAATTAAGCCACAGTCACAAGCCAAATACAGGGAACAGATCACCTTTGGGGGTGGAAAAGTTCTCCTAAATATCTGAACCAGACATTTAAGTATGGCCGAAACAGGTTTGGCTCGGTGGATAGAGCGTCGGCCTGCGGACTGAAAGGTCCCAGGTTCGATTCCGGTCAAGGGCATGTACCTGGGTTGCGGGCACATCCCCAGTAGGAGAGGTGCAGGAGGCAGCTGATCGATGTTTCTCTCTCATCGATGTTTCTAACTCTCTATCTCTCTCCCTTCCTCTCTGTAAAAAATCAATAAAATATATTTTTAAAAAAAGACTTTTAAGTATGAAAGACAATTGAAAATATCACAGCACTCTCTTCCAGCAACACGGATCTTGCATCCTTTTAACCAGTTTGTCTTTAAAAGCACATTTCAGCAGACTATGCCAATCCAGAGAATTGGAAGGTTAATAACTGAGAACTTTTCAAAGTATTTCAGAACTGCCTGGATTTGCTTGGTGATTCAGCCTCGGTTAATTCGTATGGAGTCATCGCAAGTCACCGCCAGGTTAAACAACCCCCTTGGGTGACAGAACTGTTGCTCAAAGGGCCCAGGGGACCACCTACCTCAACCTGGATCTGGGATGAGGTCTCACCACGGGCTATGAGCTTAAGGCTCTCGAGGCACCCGACCGCGTTTACTTCCAGGTGGGTGGTCCAATGTCTTGCTTGCAGAAGGGGTAGGGTATGTGGTAGGAAGTGACTAATTTCGTTTCCGCCTGGTACCGCCTCTTAACTTTCTTTGCCTCCCGAGAACCCCAGGATGGTCCTCCTAGGAGGGCTTCAGGGCTCCAAGAGGAAGCCTCCATCTCGAGGGCATGAGGAAGGCGCCTCGGGAGAATCAAGAGCCCCTAAGCGGTTCCTCCAGGGTCCGAGGAGTCACCCCCTGCCTCCGCTGCACGGCGGCCCGCATTTCTGGCCCAAACGTAGAGAGGAAAGTACCCGGACTTGAAGCACACCCCACACCTCCAGGCACAGGAGAGGACCTCGAGCGAGGAGAGACCGGGGAGCCCCCGTGCCGCCCTTGAGGCTCCAGCTCGGGACAGGCCCGGCCAGCGCCAGGAACCGCC